TAAATATACATCCAATATATATGTTTTTAATTCATTAATCTATGCATTTGATGATAGAAATATAAATTTCAGACCAATATGGGAAGGAGGAGAGTACGAGGGTGATGAAAACAAGCGACAAGAAGCTCTACGTCTAGCCATTGAATTGGGGTCTGAGTTTGTTGATGTTGAGCTAAAGGTAAATTTAAGTAACACTGACATGTATATCCGTTTACCTACCATGCAAAATATAATAAATAAAGTATTGTACTTGTATAAATTAAAGCTGCTATATACGTGTTTTGTGTATGGAAGGTAGCTCGTGATTTTTACAATTCCATTGGAGGGAAGAAACCTGTGAATGTGAAGATGATTGTGTCTTCACACAACTTGGAAAATACTCCATCTGTGGAGGAAATTGGTAACCTTGCTGCAACAATTCAAGCTTCAGGGGCAGATGTGGTGAAGATTGTAACAACTGCTTTAGACATCACAGATTGTGCACGTCTTTTCCAAGTCCTAGTGCATTCTCAGGTAATTAATAATTCACGTGTTCTTATCATAAATGAACATCAAATGCATAAGTGCACTTGGTAATTAATTATTGAATAAATGTAGGTCCCAATGATAGGAATTGCAATGGGTGAGAAGGGATTTATGTCTCGGGTACTATGCGCAAAATTTGGAGGATTTCTCACGTTTGGTTCAATTGAGGGTGCTCCTGGGCAACCAAGTATCACTGAATTGTTGGATTTGTACAATTTTAGACATATTGGGGTTGCCACCAAAGTACATGGTGTTATAGGCAAACCTATTAGTCATAGCAAAAGTCCTCATCTTTATAATGCAGCCTTCAAGTCTGTGGGATTTGATGGGGTTTACTTGCCTTTGTTGGTCGATAATGTCTCTGATTTTCTTAACACTTGCTCATCTCCTGATTTTGTTGGCTACAGGTATCATAACATCTTCCTAGAATCTTCCATTCTATAACATATAACATATAGTTGAATTGAAGGTCCTCCAGTTTTTCTATATTTTTCTGTGTTAACCTATGAGTATTTTTAAGAGTAAATTACATAATCACCTCTTAGGGAGATTGTATAATCAACTCTTAATTGTTTAATTAATCCAACACTTATTCATAATATTAGCTCCTTAATTATTTGATTATATCTTGACTATCGTAAGGAAGATATTATTGAATGTTAAAAAAGTAAGATGTGTAAATCCAATTTCACGAAATCTGTGTCGAGGTAATTTGCTTTATTCTAATAGACTTCAGGCACGTAATATTGTGATCTATGGTTAATTTTATGGAATCCTGCAGTTACAAAAAGTTTAACAGGACAACATTGTGTGTGTGTGTGTGAAAAGTGCCATGATTGCTTGAAGTAATTCTTATTTCTTTAACAAAACCAGTTACACGATTCCTCACAAGTTGGATGGACTTAGATGTTGTGATGAGGTGGACCCTATTGCAAAGGTATTTTAGCTTTTAAAACTCTGTCTCCCATCTTAATTAATTTTCTGTCATTTGAACATAATTTAGCTTCCTAATGAAATGATGTTATCAGGCAATAGGAGCTATTAGTTGCATGATTAAGAGGCCAAATGATGGAAAACTAATAGGCTATAATGTTGATTATCTTGGAGCCATTGCAGCTATTGAGGAACAACTAAAAGGTTTGTGTGTTTCTTTGCAGCAATTGAGGAAGGACTATGAGGTTTTGAATATTTAGTTATAGCTTTGCTTACAACTGTTTGCATTGCAGATTCCATATCTGGTTCACGTTCACCTTTGTATGGTAAACTGTTTGTGGTTATGGGAGCTGGTGGAGCAGGAAAGGCATTAGCTTACGGTGGAAAAGAAAAAGGGGCAAGAATAGTTGTTGCCAATCGTACATATGGTGAGAAAATGTTGTTAGTTTAGTTTGTTGATGAATTACTTGATGGGTTTTTGAATTTTCATTTTTTGAGATATATTTTTTATGAGAATTATCTTTTGTTTGTGGAGTATTCATATATACATTGTCGAGTAGTCTTTGTTGATTGTTGCACTTAAAAGAGAAGTATTTTTTTTTTTT